ACAGAATGTAGATGAACTAATTAACTTGTTTGACGACTGGAATTTCCTAGCATCATTAGGACTACTGAATGTAGACGGCATTGGGCAAGTATACTTTCCTGATTTTTCCTGAGTCTGATTAGGTGGCGATTCGCCGATGGCTCGCCACACGCTTGGAGACATTTCACTTTGATTTTGTCCAGAGGCGTCCGATCAGGCAGATTGTAAGCAAGAACATTGTACGAGGACATGATTTGTTTAGTCACTTCATTGGCTATAAAGTCTAACATACGCTCAGACTTCAGCAGACTTTCAGGATTAGTATCATGAGTCGGGTTACGAAGAAGCAGTAACGGCCTAATGGTGTTTATATTCTCATTTAATCCCTTTACAGAGTTTCCCAGAGAAATAAGATCCAACTATTTTTGTTCAGCAGTTGCATATACCTCTGATAACAAATCGGGAACAATGACTTCGGGGACATTGTTGAGGCTGCGTGGAACGTACAGTGACGTAGGTATCTTCTTAGCTGAGTGACCTAAACTATTCTTACGTATGGAAAGTACTCGTTTATTACGTTGTGCCATTGCTGAACACTGATCAGTATGGTTTAAAGCTGAAGCTGAGCTAAATTGAAAACAGGCATATAGACAAATAGTATATCGAGTGGATATACAGATTAAGTGTCAATATGGATACGGTATGGAATTTTATTGCTTATAAATAAACAATAAATTGAAAAAGTATTAAACCGTAAAATACAGAGTGAATAGAAACCAATTATCCTGAAAATTGCTCCTGATAAGTCAACAACAAAATAATGAACTTATCCATAGTTTCCTTTACTGTGAAGTTGCTCCAAAGTTACAATAAGGAGGATACGTCCTGCGAAAGAGTGGATCAAAGTTTGATAGCTGGCGGTGATGCAGTAAAACAACTTCACATGACCTCATCTAGTTTTCGCCTCCACGATCAAATTTCTTTCCTGTTATAAAACTACGATAAGACTGCTGAAAAAGTGGAATAAATATATCACTGATCTCAACATAATACATCGATAAACTTTAAACCCAGGGTGTTGTTCACAACAAAGTTATATAAGAAAATTGACTTCAAGCTTTATTTTTCCCAGGTATCAGTACTAAATTCATCTGATATCTGGGTTTTTTGTTAATGCGAAGACAATATTTCTATATCTCTTTATGTGCTACACAGACTTTATAGCAGAATGTTCCGACTGACTCTCATGTCAGAGAGAACAACCAAACTGTAAATTCATCATACATCAAATTATGTGTAATTTATATAATAACTTATACATGCCTGTACAATTGGTATGTACCTGCATAAACAGGAAGAAATATATTATTATTATATCTGCGTAACTGGAAGTAAGGCTAGTAGCCAAAGGAAGTTATAGTTTAGGAGTTGTATTATATCCAATAAAAGATTCCAGAAATCCGCAAAAATATATCCACGTTGGGGGGAGACATAGTAAAGTCCGATCAGAATCGCATCGTTTGGAAGTACATGAATAAAAGTACTCCTTGTTAAGTATTAAGAGATTATGTGAGTGTGATTGCAGATGCCGGATATTTTACAGAAGGCCTAAACGTATCTATGACCAGTTACAGGCCGAGACATTACTGGAGGCTGGCATACCTGCTGTCCTCTCTACGAACGTCGAAGCTTCTTCTGTGAACAGCGAATGACACCATGATCATGAAAACCGAAGTGGTACATCAGCTGCCAGTACTTCACGAATGTGCTCAGAAGGGCCTTCTGAACGTGATGACATGACAATTATGCTACTTGAAATCCTGGTCACCACGAAATCTCACATGCAAATGGTAACAAAATCTTGGAGATCTTCCCCCAGAGATGACCTCAGCTGCCTACAACTATTAGAAGTATACTGAGAATGTGTGGCTCTTGAGAGTCAAGACTAATTGGAGGCGAAATGCATTGCCACATCGGTCTCCAGATATGTTTGCAGCACTACACAGAAATTTCTCTGGTTGAAGATCCCTTCAACAAGATTGACTTGCAGTTGGATTTCGACGGATTGTCCATTTCGAAGTCTTCTCACCAGCAGTTATGGCCCCTGTTGTCTAGAATTACGACACCTTTCTCAAGTAGTCTGTCCCTGATAGGGGCAAAGTTAAACTTCAAGCACTACTAACTACCAATCACCGAACAGCTTTCAACGAAGCAATCGCATGAAAGAGGGATTTTTGATAATGGGAAACGTATATTTATGAAGAAAGCATAGAAACTGCATAAAACTGTTGCATAGGGTATCTTTCTCTAACATGTCACAGAAACATCTCCCAGTTTGGCATAGGAGTGTGAATAGAAAAGTTACACCACATTCTCTACATATAGTCATCCAAATAGCTATAAATGACATCCTTTTGAGGTCCATTTATAGCCTTAGTCATATTTTCTAATCTTCCCCAAAATCCTTCTATAAAACTCGTAAGCCTGATGAGATCTAATTGAAAACAACATTGTTCGCCTAAATGTGTTGTTCTAAATTTTACTATCGGAATAATTGAATGTTAAATATTTACTTTGTTGTGCACTTTTGCTAATGCTGTCAAGGCTCCTCCACATGTATTTCATTAACAGAAATCTACAGAAATACTTAGAAATTATATACGCATAGTATATCTGTCAATGTAGTTGAAGATTGAACGATCAATTCACGGTTGTTTGCTCAAAACCAACTTCCCCAATTTTCGCGCAGGTATCAATACAACAGTCATCGTCTCATCGGTCGCTGTTCAGAAAGAAGTCAGTAGAAAACCGTCAGAAGTATTATTGTGATTTATTATTGTAATATTTGTTCATAGACCTTAGTTTTAAAGCTTAATTTTAGAGTTGGATATATGTTGGTGTTACAATAAGGAATTCTCGAGTGGCCAATCGGTGTTTTGGGTTTTGCGTCCGTTATTACTAAGCGTTTCTGAGAAACTTCAAGGAACAGCGTGATTCCCAGCGTAGCAAGAGCTATGCATTCACGGTTTACGAGACATGGCTGACAACATCATTGTTATATAGCATAAACTTGCAAGTTTACAGGCAGATGCAATATCGATTCTGTATTCTTGAAAAATGTTGACTGACTCAATTATGTACAATTCAACTAATTATTTCGTCATGTTTAATGGTTAATTATTGTGTTTACACTGGTAACAAAGTCCACATCTGTAGAATTCTTATGTTCTTTTTCAGATGATATCTACTTTCGGGAATTTCATGGATTCGGGGGATAAAGAAAAAGATACCTGCAGTGTTGTCGATTTTGTATTACACGTTTATTCATTAATAAATGTATTCCTCGTTATCCGTTTGTTTATTCCATTTGATAAGACCGAATATTAGCCCTTGCGTAATTTGTGAAGTACTGAGTATACGAGGCTATCTTTGAAATACTAAGCAGGAGCAGATATTCGGAGAAGCCTATTGGTAAAAAGATTATGTTGTGGTCAAATAAAGTAAATATGTCCAAATCGTAGAGGAGGTATTGCGATTATAAAGCGTTTCGAGTTATCTGTCGTCTTAGCAGAATACATAAACTGATTCGCGACTCATAGTCACAAAGTGAAAATAAATCTACCTGAGATAGTTTGCTTGTGATTTCTACGTGTCGCAATGTACCATGAGGATAGACTGTACTTATGCTGCTAGATTTATAACTCAGTGAAACTACGGTTATCGTAATAATTAAAAACAGAATGCCTACGGTTCGCAGACACAGAACACGGCACGTTGCTATCTGTTAATCTAATCACGTGAACAAAAGTCTCCCAAACGCCGCATTTACTCCTAACAGTTTACCCTCAGTTCATAACTTAGCGCGTGTTACTTATGTTACTGGAACACAATCGCATTACAACAGAAGGAACACAGATTCATTGAAAAATTGTTTATTAAACAAAAATCAGATTTCAAATGTACAGATAATTCAGATGAGTAGTCCTCTGTTACCGTCAGTAAGTTCCATCTGCGTACATGGCACATATATGCTTTGCTATAAAAGTCTGAAAAGGTTTAGGGAAAGCATTATTAACCTGGGTATTACATGTATGATCTGAATAAAAATTTTTTCTTAATAAGCATTTACAAGTAATCACTTTACAAACAATATATGTAAGTAGCCAAATAGTTCTCACTAAACTTCGCAATTAATCGTTGGTCGACATCTAGAAGGTCCATCGAAGCACCATGAAATGATAAAATTATTTTACAAGTTATGCAGTAGTTTCCAAAGCTTGTACAAAGATTTTAGCGAAAATGACTACGGCTTTATGACAAATAATAGGTCTTGACAGCAATACTAGCAATAAAGTTCATGTTCATAGTGACTATAAAAACAAGAATAGGTATTATTGTCGCGACGAATTAACCATTAACTAAGACAACTAATAGTACTACAATCTTGTCAAATAAATGTATCACTTAATCTTAAGAAGCATCTGTTTACTTACTTTTACTGTATTCTCTCAATACTGATGTGCTCAACTAGCTTATTCCAAATGAACTCAAGATTAATTCTGAAAGTGAGTGGAGATCCAGTTTACGTCAAATGAAAACATGTAGCCTACACGTATTACACTGCTTACTGAGACATTTGATACCTGCTTTCCGATCTTCGTGGCAAGAGCACAGTATATCCAGGTATACCTACATATATATAAATATACATATATGCTGCATCAACCATGTCGTTCTTATCATGATTAACCAGACCACTGTGCACATTATACTTATTTAAGGATCTCTGAAAATAATGGTCAAGCGATAATTGGAGTTGCTTGAAGCTATTACCTTTTCAGAACATTGTTTGCATTCTTGACACTCCTGAGAAGTCCTTACATCTTGATATGGCATGAACTAGTTGAGTTCAGCGAAAAAATCGACTTGTCAATGTAGATGAAGATTGAACGAACAATTCATGGTTGTTTGCTCAAACTCAACTCCAAACTATGGCTGCCCAGAAACTACTGGCAGACCACTCTCAATCTGGATCCATGCCAGAGAATCCCTCAGTAGAAACCGCAAAAAGGACCACAAAACCCAGAGTCCCACCCCAGACTTCGACATACCTCCCTCGTAATAAGTCTAATAAGCAGCGTGTCAGTCTAAAAAATGACAAAGCATGGGTAACGAAGCACATTCCCAAAGACGTCACGCAGCATGTGAGAAGGAATACCCCTTCCCGAACTAGAAGTAACATGCCTAACAACGCACATAACTTGGGAATGCAACGTAGAATGGATCCTCAGGATATATGGAGCACTAAACGGGACTCATATAGGCACCATATTAACGAAAATCCTCGTCCAAACTCTCGCACTATCTATATTAAACCTCATCAACTTAATGAGAACAGGTCGGCACTTGATCCCCTCAATAACTTCACTCACAAACGTGACGTGAGCCAATATGCATATGGCTATGAAAGCCCCATGAGGTACAACTACCAGGGTAATCTTAACTCAGGGTACCTAGGTCCAGCAAACTACAACCCAAATTGCAGGGCAGACCATATATCACCAGTAGATCAACGCAGATGCCGACCCATGGATGCTAATAGTCAAAATATGCAACAGGATTATTTTCGGCTGCAGCAAACAATAGCCCCACTCGCTGCACAGTTCATCCAGGAAATAGTACACACACTGACTCTGTCTCACCTCAGAGCCCCTCCAAACATAACGTAGGGATAGTGACAAGTAACCATGTTAACCTCTCCTCCAATAACTCTGGTTTACTAACAATTATGCTCCTGAATGCTAGATCTCTCCTTAATAAAATAACAACGCTTCGCTGCCTGGCATACATAGAACGGCCAACACTAATAATGGTGACTGAAACCTGGCTTACTACTGATATACCTGACACAAAGCTGGTAATAGACAACTACGACATCTATAGGAACGATAGAGTTGACAAAAGAGGAGGTGGTTGCTTAATATATGCCTATAAATCCACTAACTCCAATACTTTCAATAACCCAAATACTGACAAACTCCCAGAATCTAAGTGGATAAGCATCCACACAAACGAAAGTAAAATTCTCGTGGGATGTATATACAGACCCCCCAATAGCCCTGAAATGACTGATATAACTATTGCAGAAATACTAGAGCATGTAGCTACGCTGGACTTCGACTTCAAAGTAGTATGTGGAGATTTCAACTTACCTGGAGTAAACTGGGATACCTGTACAGGACCAAGAACCCATGAAGAGCTACTACAAGCTATAGACATAGGAGGATGGAAGCAGTGCGTGCGCCTCCCTACAAGGAACCAAAATACTCTTGACTTAATCCTCTGTCATAACATAGAGCCCATCTCGATAGAGGTGGGAAATAAACTCGATAACAGTGATCACAACATATTGTACTGCACGCTCCCCCTCCGACTAACAACTAAATACACACCTAAAAATTCCCCGGTGCGCTATCAATATAGGGATTATAAGAATGCAGATTGGGAATTCCTACCAGATCTGTTGAGAAGTTCTGACTGGGAAGAATACTTCATCAACAATAACTTAGAAGCATCACTTGAGATTTTCTACAAAACAGTTGGCTCAGCAAGAGACACAATCGCGCCCCTAAAATCTGCCCTAAAGACACCAACTCCATTTATTGACCGGAAAACGCGACTAAAACTAAAGAAATTGAAAAGGAAATACCATGTATTTAAGGAATTTAATGCGTTAAACCAAATACATGAAACTCTTAAACTGCTTGAAGAGAAACACAAAATGAAGTCACAACATGAGGAAAATAAAGCGCTAATGGGTAACACCAAAACTCAGGAACTTTGTAGGATATTGCAAAAACGTCTAAAAAGCTGTAAAGACAATAATGTAAGCATCTTGGAACATAGGGGTGTAATATACAACGATCCCCAGGTAATAAGTGAACTCCTCAGTGAGTGGTTTTGCAATGACACCAGAGTGCACTCGACCCCAAATTTCCAAATGACCTGCAAAAGTAACCACAAATTAGGAGAAATAGATTTTAATATGCAAAATATAGACTCAGCGATTAAGACATTGAAGTCAAATGGCAGTACTGGAACAGACGACATACCATCTGTCATATACAAAAATGGTAGCACGGAAATGGTAGTCTTGTTACTTAGAATATTTACTCTGTCACTGGAAACTGGAACTTATCCTGAAGTGTGGAAAACCACATACGTACTACCTAAGCACAAAGCAGGGGCCAAAACCAGTGCATGCAACTATAGACCTATTAATATAACACCGGTAATATCACGAATAATGGAGAAAGTGGTTAAAGACCAAGTGTCAGACAACTTACTAGAACATGAACTTATCAACCCATCACAACACGGATTCCTCAAAAAGAGATCATGTGCGACCTGTCACATAGACTTTTTCAATGAAGTTACACGAAGCAGGGACAACAGAGAACTAGTAATTGTGCTATACTTCGATATAACAAAAGCCTTCGATAGAGTCCCCCATAATCTGCTAGTCAGCAGGTTATGCTCACTAGGGATATGTGACCCTCTCCTGAGCTGGATAAAATCATTTCTGCGTGACAGGAATCAGATAACAAAAGTTGGCTCGATAATCTCAAGGCCAAAACCTGTAAGTAGTGGTGTAATCCAGGGAAGTGTATTAGGCCCACTCCTATTCATAATATATATAAACAGTATCTGTGAATGCTTTAGTGTTGGTAAACCAATACTATATGCAGATGACTTAAAAGTGACCTATAAATGCAAGAACACAGATCTCGGAATAACATTAAACGCCATACAGCAAGAATTAGAAAAAATGGACAGATGGTGTGACACCTGGCAACTCCAGTTTAATGTCGACAAATGTGGCTGGCTCTGCATAGGTTGCAACAATTTAGAACTTGACCTGACAATTCAAGGCCATGCACTTTTACGACTGGAATCTGTATTGGACCTAGGACTGAAATACTCACCTGACTTATCATTTTCTGAACATATCTCCAAACAAGTGTCAAAGTCACGCAGACTTATCGGCTTTCTACTCAGGAACTTTTACAGAAATGAGTCCAGAATTCTGTTGTACAAGGTTTGTGTGCGTCCTTTATTTGATTACTGTTCATTCATGTATAGTAGTATACGCATAGAGGACAAATTGAAAGTCGAGGGAGTGCAGAGGTACTTCACGTCAAAATTACTCGGAACCGAAAATGGTGCGAACTACTCCACTAGATGTGACATCCTAGGATTAGAAACACTATGGCTAAGACGCCTGAGACTAAACTTAACACTTTACTATAAGCTTCTAAACCACTTAGTTTTTACCTCTACTAATGGCATTCGACTTTCAGATGACAGTGTCTACAAACTAAGACACACTAAGGGTACAGTAGCTATTGAACAATGTAAAACAGCTACCAGGCAAAAGTTTTATTTGATTAGGTATGCACAGATATGGAATAAACTACCAATGGAAATGCGTCAAGCAGGTACATTGGCTTCCTTCAAAAAAGTGCTTAACGACAAACTACACGAGTTTGCAAACGACAGTAGTCTTAGTTCCTATCTGAGAGCCTCCGAAATTATAGGTCCATTTAATGTATAAGTTCAAATACTACACCTGCTGTTTTTGCCTATATTTATAATTTTAGATAAAACATTAACGATTAAGATACTTACCCTCAAACAGACAAGAAGTTTCGTTTGTAAAACTTCTACCCAACACAATAAGTGGAATAAAATGGACATAAACTGACAACATGAAAAAGGTTATAACTCACCACAACATCACATGGACAGATGTACGCTCGTCGGACATCATATATGCATCACCAACTACAACCCAACATTCCTGAGATAATGTGATGAACTTATATCCATAATGTTGCTGAGCAGTCAATATCCACAACTCCTGTCGGAACAACTAAAATTCAAAAACCTTCCTCACGAGAAGTAAATATCCACAAGCAGTAAAAATCCATTAATTAATGCGTCTAAAGCTTATGTATTTTACTCCCAACAATGACATTGCACATCAAATGAGATAAACATATCACTGATTTCAAAATAACACAACAATGAACTATAATTCAAGGATTCTGCACACCACAAAGTAATGCATGAAAATTGACTTCAAGCTTTATTTTTTTCCCAGGCACTTATAACCCATCCACCAAAGACCTGGTTTTTTTGTTAATGCGAAGACAATACTTCTGTATTTCCTGATGTGTTGCACTCACTGAAAATCTAGCGGATTTTTCCAACTATGCACAGAAATGATTGTACATAAGTGAAAAGGATGTTTTATACTATTCGGATTAACATTTATCAAGTGTACGTATTATCTCCAGTGTACATGTTAAACATATTTTGCTATCGACTGTAAATTGTGACTGAATAATATGATCCTATTTCTGTAACAATTTGATGATGCCTGTAAACTGGCGTCCCTCATGTACTGTACCATGAGAATCAATCCATCTATTTACTTATTTCAATGAAATAAACATTTCTCTGATTTCAAAATAACACATCAATGAACTATAAATCAAGGATTCTGTACACAAGAAAATTATGTATGAAAACTGACTTCAAGCTTTATTTTTTTCCCAGGCACTTATAACCCATCCACCAAAGACCTGGTTTTTTTGTTAATGCGAAGACAATACTTCTGTATTTCCTGATGTTTTGCACTCACTGAAAATCTAGCGGATTTTTCCAACTATGCACAGAAATGATTGTACATAAGTGAAAAGGATGTTTTATACTATTCGGATTAACATTTATCAAGTGTACGTATAATCTCCAGTGTACATGTTAAACATATTTTGCTATCGACTGTAAATTGTGACTGAATAATATGATCCTATTTCTGTAACAATTTGATGATGCCTGTAAACTGGCGTCCCTCATGTACTGTATCATGAGAATAAATTTATTTATTTATTTATTTATTTCTGCAGGCAAAGCGTAAAGCCTGGTTCGCGTGGCGACGATCGAAGAGTCAACCCGAATATGAAGTGTACCTTGAACTCAGGAATCGATGTAACATACGAGTCCGGAGCGATAGAAGGACATTTCAGGGAGACCTCGCCAATAAGCTTCTAGTGAACCCCAAAAGCCTATACAGGTTTATGGCCGAAAGAAAACCGACCAACCAGGGAGCATGCAATCTAGTGGGTTCTGATGGGAAATCTTTTACCAGTCTTGAAATGGCAGAGACATTCAGCCTAGCCTTTCACAGGCAACTAAATAGTAACGAGGATATTACCCCTACAGAACATCCAGATTACATCGCAGAACCAACACACGAAAACCTGCTGGGGACATTTCAAATTACCCCGGCTATGGTACTTGCAAAATTGGGACGGTTGGCTTCGGGAAAGTCTCCAGGTTGTGATGGCATCAGACCATCTGTCCTGAAGCAGTGTTCAGAAAGTCTCTGTCAACCCCTAAGTGATCTGTTTCAACACTCCCTTGATGTAGGGAAACTTCCATGTGAATGGAAACGTGCAATCCTATCCCCTATCTTCAAGGGTGGTGACCGGCAGAATGTGACCAGTTACAGACCAGTTGCTCTACTTCCAGTGGTATCGAAGATATTGGAAAGTCTCATTGACGACCACATGAGAAAATACTTCGATGGGACTAACCTTCTTCACGAAGCACAGCACGGTTTCAGGAGGGGAAGATCCTGCGTGACGAATCTTCTACTAGCCTGGAACGATTGGACACTAACCTGGGACAAAAAGGTACCAGCCCACGTGATCTTTCTCGACTTTGCGAAAGCATTCGACACAGTTCACCATGGTCTGCTCCTTCACAAAATAGGCAAGGCGGGAGTTTCTGGAGCACTTCTCGCATGGCTGACAGATTACTTAGGCGAGAGAGAATTCTGCACCAAAGTCAACCGCATCCGATCATCTTGGCACACCTCGGCATCAGGGGTTCCTCAGGGTTCTATCCTAGGGCCGTTGATGTTTTTGATTTTTATCAATGACCTGCCCCCCCAACTAAACTGCTCTGCGCTTCTTTACGCTGACGACGTAAAGATTTGGAGAGCAATAAACTCATCGGAAGACTCAGATAGATTGCAGGCTGACCTGCAAACTCTGGGAAATTGGGCTTTGGCTAACGGAATGCCTTTCAATCTAAAGAAGTGCAAAGTAGTGCAGCTTCATTCCGGCAGGTCACAGAGTGTAAATTACACCCTTGGTGGCCAGAACTTGAGTTGTGTTCCATCAGAGCGTGATCTAGGTCTTATTCTAACAGAAAAGCTAGACACCAGTGGAAATTACTCGAGGGACGTCGCCAAAGCCTACACAACATTACACTTTATGCACAGGCAGCTGGGAGCTCTCACTCCCGAACTGTTCTTAAGGCTATACAAGGCATATGTGAGGCCACACCTTGAGGTGCATAATATCATTGCACCTCCGCTACTCAAAAGGGATGCTAACATTCTAGAAAGTGTCCAGAGACGAGCGACAAAATGGGTGATCGGCCTCCGCAACAAATCATATGAGGAAAGACTAAAGAAATTGGGTCTTTTCACACTCAGTTACCGTAGGCACAGGGGAGACCTCATCACCGTCTACAAGATCCTAAATGACCAGGCCCACCCAAATAAAAGCATCCTGCCATTAAGCGATTATAGGCTTCCACGAGGTAACCCGCTAAGGATAGCACACCAGAGACCAAAAACTCGAGTGCGATCACATTTCTTTTCGCTTCGTGTTTGCCGTCTCTGGAACGCTTTACCGGCGGCCGTGACTACAGCGCCATCTGTGGAGATTTTTAAGCGGAAGCTAGACAATCATGCAGAAATGCAAGGTTTGTGTCTCAATGGCTTATCCTCATAAAATTTGAAACCAAACTGTCAATGAATAAGCGTACTAACTAAATCCCCACGACCTATTCTGCCTTCTCTCACTCTGTCTTTTCCTTATGTCACCTTTATTATTCCACTTATCTCAACCTATATTATCTACACTACAACCTATTATTATTATTATTACTATTCTGCTTTTATGACTACACCGAATGACCAAGGGGAGTTAGGTCAAACTCCATTCACGGCAGCAATACAGTCCTAACATACTGCATACTACAAACCACATCTCGACCAATCCCCGCACCACTCCTCCTGGAGTCTACCAGAGCTAAAGCAGTCGAGTGTCGGGACTTACTACGCAGAAGCTCACCGAAGATCTGGAACCTCTACCTCACAATCAAGAAGCGAGCTCAAATAAATCACTGGTTTATACTAGCTCGTCATCAGGATATTGGATATTGGAACTCCTCCATGTTTTTCGCGGTTCATCAACTCGGGAGTGATCGTCTCATCGTTCGCTGTTCATAGGAAGATAAACAACTATCAGAAATTTAATACAAAGTGTTTCTGAAAGTCTTCGAGGGACAGCGTAGCAAGAGCTGGACATTGACAGTTAATGAGACTTAACTGACAGTTTCTGATAGTGTTAGGATAGTTCCCGTTCGTCTTTCCTGGTGCCTGCCAGCCTTCTTTGGACAAGTATTATCTGGAACTTTTCTGGAATTTCGGTCAAGTTCAATGATGCCTGGGTCAAAGAAGGGACGAAGCGTCTTGGAAGCAAGCAGGAAAGTAAGTGATGCTGAGTTGCTTGTTAATTGTAATGATATGTATGATGTTCGGCATGATGAGTCTGTTGTTCATGTTTCGCAGTCTAGGGATAATAGGCCTAAATATGAACCTCGGCGTCTCGACGGAAACCCAGCTGACTATTTACAGTTTGTAAAGGAGTTTGAAATCATGTTGAGTGGTTTTTTATTAAGTGAAGTTGATGTATTTGATGAGGTACTGCACTGGAGTTGCCTCAAGAGTTATACAGTGCTGTAAGTTCATGCCCCCTAATGGGGGATACTCTGAGGCTATGAGCATACTACGTCAAAGGTTTGGAAGATCTTCAATGATTGTAAGGAACGCATTCGAAGCAGTCAAAGGTAACGGTAGTCAACTTCGAGATGACTCCAAGGCACTTACTGAGTTTTTAGATAATCTTATGACTTATAAGAATACCTTGATTTCGATGAATTGCATGAGTGACCTCAACTCAAGATCCGTCCTAGAGGTAATAGCGAGACGCCTACCTACTCGACTGCAAAGGAAGTAAGTGAAGATAAGCTCTCGTATAGAGGATGAAGGTATTGGGCCGAAGTTCGATGATATTCTGAAACTGGTAAAAGATAGTGTCAATCAAGCTATGAGCAAGTTTGCCAGTATATTGCATCTCACCCCTAGAATAGAGCAGTCTGAGGGCAAAGCGCAATCATTTATGACGAAGGGGTCTCAGAAGTGCATTCTCGATATCCACCTCTCTGAGGCCCCTTCGTCATAAATGATTGCGCTTTGCCCTCAGACTGCTCTATTCTAGGGGTGAGATGCAATATACTGGCAAACTTGCTCATAGCTTGATTGACACTATCTTTTACCAGTTTCAGAATATCATCGAACTTTGGCCCAATACCTTCATCCTCTGTACGAGAGCTTATCTTTACTTACTTCCTTTGCAGTCGAGTAGGTAGGCGTCTCGCTATTACCTCTAGGACGGATCTTGAGTTGAGGTCACTCATGCAATTCATCGAAATCAAGGTATTCTTATAAGTCATAAGATTATCTAAAAACTCAGTAAGTGCCTTGGAGTCATCTCGAAGTTGACTACCGTTACCTTTGACAGCTTCGAATGCGTTCCTTACAATCATTGAAGGTCTTCCAAACCTTTGACGTAGTATGCTCATAGCCTCAGAGTATCCCTCATTAGGGGGCATGAACTTACAGCACTGTATAACTCTTGAGGCAACTCCAGTGCAGTACCTCATCAAATACATCAACTTCACTTAATAAAAAACCACTCAACATGATTTCAAACTCCTTTACAAACTGTAAATAGTCAGCTGGGTTTCCGTCGAGACGCCGAGGTTCATATTTAGGCCTATTATCCCTAGACTGCGAAACATGAACAACAGACTCATCATGCTGAGCATCATACATATCATTACAATTAACAAGCAACTCAGCATCACTTACTTTCCTGCTTGCTTCCAAGACGCTTCGTCCCTTCTTTGACCCAGGCATCATTGAACTTGACCGAAATTCCAGAAAAGTTCCAGATAATACTTGTCCAAAGAAGGCTGGCAGGCACCAGGAAAGACGAACGGGAACTATCCTAACACTATCAGAAACTGTCAGTTAAGTCTCATTAACTGTCAATGTCCAGCTCTTGCTACGCTGTCCCTCGAAGACTTTCAGAAACACTTTGTATTAATATTGAGGGAATACAGTAAAAGTAAGTAAACAGATGCTTCTTAAGATAAAGTGATACATTTATTTGACAAGATTGTAGTACTATTAGTTGTCTTAGTTAATGGTGAATTCGTCGCGACAATAATACCTATTCTTGTTTTTATAGTCACTATGAACATGAACTTTATTGTTAGTATTGCTGTCAAGACCTATTATTTGTCATAAAGCCGTAGTCATTTTCGCTAAAATCTTTGTACAAGCTTTGGAAACTACTCCATAACTTGTAAAGTAATTTTATCATTTCATGGTGCTTCGATGGACCTTCTAGATGTCGACCAACGATTAATTGCGAAGTTTAGCGAGAACTATTTGGCTACTTACATATATTGTTTGTAAAGTGATTACTTGTAAATGCTTATTAAGAAAAAATTTTTATTCAGATCATACATGTAATACCCAGGTTAATAATGCTTTCCCTAAACCTTTTCAGACTTTTATAGCAAAGCATATATGTGCCATGTACGCAGATGGAACTTACTGACGGTAACAGAGGACTACTCATCTGAATTATCTGTACATTTGAAATCTGATTTTTGTTTAATAAACAATTTTCCAATGAATCTGTGTTCCTTCTGTTGTAATGCGATTGTGTTCCAGTAACAT